TTGCGGGATATTTTTTGAAACCTGCATATTCGCCGCTGTGGACTCAATGGAAACATTGGTAGAATCTTTGTGTGAAAGAATATGATTTGCGACATTGCTAGAACTGAATTTTTCGAAGAGTACGGTCACCCTGTGTGGTCCGTCAAATAAAATAATTTTCGAATCATACATATCAATAATAGCCTTATATTTGTGTAGAAAACTATTACCTAAAAGATTATACCCATTTAAGTTTTTAACGACAGCGCATTCAATAATAAAACTATGCTCACAGAAATTTACTTCAATTGAGGTTGTACCTAATAAATCTAAAGGGGACCCATTTGCTGTAGTAATGGTAGCGTTTTGGGCTGGAATAATATCATGATTCATGGGAAGTGTAGCGCTACTTATTATGCTAATCGATGCCCCCGTATCAATGAGAAACTTTGACTCAATACTATTTAATTTCCCAATTATTATAGGTTGAGGGGGGACCGATGCGCAATTTGAAAAAATGTTAAAACAATTAGAGACACCTGTGATATTTAAATTATTTTGCGCTAATGTTGCTTTCGTAATGGGAGCTGGTGATTGAACTTTTTGGCTAGGTCGCGAAAGAGTGTCAAAATTCGCCCTAACCATCGAATTTTGACTTATTCGTTTTTTTGAGTTTGCTGCGGGCGCCGCTGATTAGGGGCCCACTTATTAGTAGACGGATCTCCTGCGCCCTGATTTCGCCCACCATTATTATTGTTATAATTTTGACCTGTATTATTAGAAAATCTGTTATTATTATAATAATTATTATTATTAAAATTGTGATTGTTTCTGTAGTTACCATTATTATTATTATTATTATTAGAAATGTAAAAATGACCGCNTATTATTATTATTAGAATTGTAAAAATGACCGTCTGTATTTCGATTTAAATTATTGTAATTTTGATATTTATTATTATATCTAGTGTTATTGTTAAAATTATTACCATTGTTGTTACCAAAATTATTAGAATTATTATCGAAATTTCTACTGTTATAATTCAGGTTCCTATTATTATTATTGATATTCCTGCTATTATTCCTATTATTATTCCCATGGTACTTATTTTTACTCGAATTCATACTCAGATTCTTCTGAAGGGTTTCTGTCAAAATGTCAAGCTGTTGTTGTATTTTTTTATTATCGTCTATTTTCTTGTCTATGCCTAAGCTCGCTATTTTTATAATGTTTTCCTCTAATACCGATAATGAACTAACGTCAACCCAACCTACTCTTTCGAAATATTGGTCGGGCAAACCGTTTAAAATTGTGTCTATTATTTCACTTTCTGACATATCCTCGTTTGCTCTCCTGCATTCGGCTTTAACATTAGAAAAGTAATCTAAAATGCTTTCATGGTCCTCTTTTTTTCTCTCTCTTAATCTCTTAAGTCTCATTCTTCTCTGGGCTTCTGAATTATAATATCTAATTAGTACATTTTTCATTGCCTGCCAAGTAGGAACATCCACTTCTGCCTCTTTATTTTCAAACACTGTCTGTGCCTGGCCTTTAAGGGAAAGTGGTAACATAACGAGTTTCATATTATCATCCCAACCGTTAGCTTTTGCAACTCGTTCGAAATTTGAAAAAAATCTAATAATATCCTCCGATAATTTACCCGAGAACTGTTGTGGTAAAATTGAGCTAGCCATAGTAGTTATTAATTTTAACTGGTTTATTTTCTAAAAGTTTTGTTTGCGCAAAAATAGGTTTAGGTTCTACGGTGACTTCGCGTGAAATTTCTGATGGTTTAGCTAAAGGAAATTCGACAACGGTTTTGTAGAGATCGGTAGGGGTGTTCGATTCACTCAAAGAAGCGCTTTTTGTGCTTAGTGGGACCGGCAGAATACTTGGAATTTTATCAAGTTTTTCTGCTTCGGAGTCCGAATCAGATTCGTATTTTTCTGAGAGGGGTGGTTGTTTGAAAANTTAAATTACAAAGTAAAATGATTTAATTTTCTATAAATACTTTAAAAACATTAAAAATGAATGATTTTAATTGTCTTTATGAAGAACATGGAATAACTAAATGTTTAATTAATAAATTAGAATTTTTTTTTCAATTTTTGAGGTTAATATTTTCAACTAGATACGAATTGTAGTCATTTGACGTATCGTTGAAAAAAGTAGGTCAAGTTAGAGCAGAAAAATAAATGATAGTCACAAAAAAATATCTTGTCGGCTTTGCATCGAAGCTAAAACTTAAAATATAGTAAAATAATTTTAATATGAATAAAGATGCAAAAAATTCATTGCCATACGCGTGTTTGAACTTCGTACTCTAAGATTGTAAAACACAAATTTTACCAACTCGGCAACTGTACGTCGCTACCGTCAGCCTAAAAAATTAGCTATTTAAGATAGTTCAAATTTCAAAGTTAATTTTCACAACTTCAAAAAACAAAAGATTTTAAATTAGTTTAAATTTCTATGCTATCTCAAATTATAGCTTCGATGCAAAGCTGAGAAGGTATTGGTTTTACTAAGATGTGTTTTTTTTTTTTGTGTCTGTTACCACTTTTTCTCAGTTCTCACCGAACCAATTTCTTTCAATGATACGTCAAAAGATCACAAATCGTATCTAGTCGAAGAAATTACCCTTAAAAATTGAAAGTTCGCTAATTTTATATATATCTTAAATTAAAGCTAATGTAATATACTTTATCATGGAAAAAAAAAATTTCGGACTTTATTTTATCTTCAAGGTGAAAATGGCTACCAAATGCTATTNTATCTTCATGGTGAAAATGGCTACCGAATGCTATTTTTGTGTGAAAATTTTCGATTTTGTATTTTACATTTTTAACTTTATTATAATATAACTTTTTGAAAAATGTATGGATCAATATAATTTTTTCATGAAAAGTAGTGTTTATATACATCTTTCATTCAACATACTGTTTTTTTAAAACGGACCATTTCCCTATATACGAGGGGAGTTCAAATTTAAAAAATGCATGTAGAAAGTAGAACTTTTTCAACTTAACTTTTGAAAATGTTCTGGAAAGTCTGACACTTTTATATATATCTTAAATTAAAGCTAATGTAATATACTTTATCATGGAAAAAAAAAATTTCGGACTTTATTTTATCTTCAAGGTGAAAATGGCTACCAAATGCTATTNAATTTCAGACTTCACTTTGTCTTCACGGTAAAATGTTTACCGAATGCTATTATTGTGTGTAAATTCTCGATTTCATTTTTTACATTTTTAACTTTATAATATTTTTTAATAATCCCTTTTTCATTCGACATACTTTATCTTAATCAGGATATTAATAAGGATCTAGCAGATTATGTAGCTTTTGGAATAATCCACCATTTTTTTAAAATTAAACACTATCTAAAGATTTGCATCGAAGCGACGGTGTCAGTTTACACAAGTATGTACACGTTAATTAATTGTTTTCGATTCGACGTCTCCTTCAGCCTGATGGACATTTGATTGGCTACAGTTTGTTAGTAGCAGTACTGTGCACAGGGTGCTCAACCGGAACGCCGTACCGTCTGTAGGAAGTAATAATCATAATAGTTAACAGTAATCGCTACAATTGTCTTCGATGATCTTGCTTTTCCCTTTAAGGTCAATGTCACCTAGCAACATAATGAGGCCGACGTAATACATTTTTATAATTAATTTCATTAAGAATCGTAGTAACAGTTATGGAATGTGAGACGGTATTAATTCGTTCACTTTTTCAAATATGTCTTACAACGCGTATATTTATATATATTTTAACGGGTAGGTACCCTTTAGTAATATTTATAATACAATAAGTATAAAGTTTACATGACAATTATGAGTCAACAACATATAGGTAATAATGATAATAATAATAATATAGAATAAATTATGAATACAATAAAATGTGTTATCAATAATTAATAATTAAATAGTGTAAGACATAAATCAATTAAAAACAAATAATTAGCTTAATATCATATAATATTATGAATTTTGCAAACGAAATACAACAATTTTCAAAAATTTAATCTAATAATACATTTATCTTATAATAAGAGCACAATATTTAATTTAGTACTAGATTTAAACCTATATATACATTTTGTTTGAAAAAATCTCGTGACTTAAAAAAGAAATCTATGTGATCAGCTATAACGTTACATAATGAGAGGGCTCTAGGAAAAAAAGATGTGGAACTGTAGTTATTTTTATAAAATGGTATATGAAACAAATTCGATTTTCTTAAACAATGATTTGGTGTTATAAAACCAATCATAGATAACAATTACGGGGAATCAATAAGATTGTTTAGTAAATCAAATATGAACATAATATCCGCTACATTTCTTTTTTGTTCACAACTAGTAAATCCAAAAACCGAGTTATGCAAATTAGTTATTATAGGTTTATTCAATTTATAACACAAAAATTTTAAAAATTTATACTGAACATTTTCAATTACCGTTTTATATGACGAATAACTTGGAGACCAGACTATAGAACCAAACTCAAGGTGAGGTCTGACTAGAGAAAAGAATAATGTTTTGAATGTATTAAAGTTTTTAAGATTATTCGTATTTCTATTTAAAAACCCTAACATTTTAAAGGCTTTTTTAATAATGGTATTAATATGAATTGAAAAAGACATTTTACTTTCAATAACAATTCCTAGGTCTCTAACAGAAGTGACACTCGTTATAATACAGTTATCTATTTTATAATTACACTTGATTTCATTATCTATTCTAGAAAAAGTAATAACATTACATTTACTTATATTTAAAGGTAGGCGATTTTGATGGGTCCAATTTACAAAATTATCTAAGCTCGATTGTAATTTTAATGTATCGTCTAGAGATCTAATTTTTGAGAATATCTTAGCATCATCAGCAAATAAAATATCTTCAACTGAGCTATCAAATATTGCAGGGAGATCATTTATAAATAATGTAAATAGAAGAGGGCTCAGATGTGAACCNTAACTTCAACTGAGTTATAAAATATTGCAGGGAGATCATTTATAAATAATGTAAATAGAAGAGGGCTCAGATGTGAACCTTGAGGCACTCCAGAATTAACTAAAAAATTATTTGATACATGAAAGGATAATTTTACTGCTTGAGTACGTGAACTAATATAGGATTTTATCCAACCCAAAAAATTACCGTGGATTCCGAAAGAAACTAATCTATTTAAAAGTAGGCTATGATTTACTTTATCAAAAGCTTTCTGGAAATCGGTGTATATTGAGTCTAATTGGACATAATCATTAAGAGAATCAAGTATCTTTGACTGAAAAATTTGGTTGAGATTGACATTTTAGATCTAAAGCCATGTTAATTTTTACAGATATATGGCGACATTAGTTTAGTTAATTTATTTATTATAATCGCTTCAAATAGTTTAGGTATATGTGATAATTTAGAAATTGGTCTATAATTTGAAACATTATGCTTATCTCCTGATTTGTGTACTAGTGTGATAAAAGATTTTTGCCATATATTGGGAAAATAATCTAAATGTAAAGATCTATTAAAAATTAAAGGAAGTGGCTTAATTAATACAAAACTACACAATTTTAGAAATAAAGAAGGTACACCATCAGGTCCCGTACTCGCATTCATATCTAAATTATTTAATAACTCTTGAATTTCATTTTGATCAATAGACATGGAGCTTAAATTAACATTTATATTATTCATTAAAGACGTATTTAAATTTTCTTGGGACTCTTCATTAAAGATTCTTGAGTCAGTATCATAAACACTGGAAAAGTAGTTGGCAAATAATTGACCTGTGTTCATAGATGTTTGAAGATGAATGATTTTGATATTTAACGCAATCTGGTACTACATTATTAGTTTTTTTCAGTGAGTTAATATATTTCCAAAAAGGTTTAATATTTGTTTGGATTCTAAATTTGTGATAAATTGTGTATGGGAGAGATATATTAATTTTTTGCATTTATTGCGGAGATTAGAGAGAATAAGATAATCTTGATGAGAATGACTAAGTTTAAATTTTTTATGAGCACATTTCTTATCAATAATGAGTTTTCTAAGCTCAGCATTTGGCCAAACAGGTGAAAAATTATTAAACATTTTTGTTTTGGGAATAAATAAAGAGAATGTATGATAAATTATTTCATAAAATTTATTTATTTGAGCCTCAAAAGTTAAAGTATTGTCTAGATTAAGTTCAAAATCGATGTTTGATAGAAAAAGAGAAATTTTATTGAAATCACAATTTTTGAAATTATACACTAGTGGAAGTTTATAAGAATTTTGTAAAAAGGGATCAGTAAATTTTATATTTAACTTTAAAAGAGGATGAAAATTATCAATTATTGGAACAAGGGATTCAGATGAATGAACAATAGAAGTAAGTTCTACATCAGAACTAAGAAATATACAATCAAGAGTATGACCTAAAGAGTTTTTAATGTAATTACATTGTTTTAAATTTAAAAGATTTACAAAAGAATTATATAGTATATCTCCAGAGACATTACCTTGAATACTTGATTCGATAGACCAATCGTAGCTATTTAAATTAAAATCACCAGTAATAATAAAATGGTAATCAGGATAGTTAAAATATATACTCTATATCATCACATTATTTAGAATACATTTCAATAGTTGCATCAGGTGGAATATATACACAACCTAAAACTATTTTTATTTTATTTACAGTGAATTTTAGAAATAATTGTTCGATTCCAGTTACAAGAGGAACATTTAATAATTCACTACACATTTTTTTATTTATTGCAATTAACACACCACCACCACGCAGTTTACCGTACGACAAATTACGATCATCTCTATATAAATTATAATTATTAAAACCAAGTTCCGCATCAAAAATATTATAATTTAACCATGTTTCATTTAAACAAACTATATCATAATTCACATTTAATAAGGCATTTCGTAAAAAATTTATCTTTGTTAATAGACCACGAACATTTTGAAAAAAAATATTAATTATAAAAAATTATCATTTCGGAGATTTACTGAACGGTTATTTTTTATAACAATTTTCGGTGTTCCTTTCACATATTTAATAATTAGATCAGATTCGCCATTATTTTTACGAGTCTCCAATTCACAGTGGAGTTTTTTCATATAACTCCTTTGATGCAGCGTACGGTCCGAATTGATTCGAATAATAGAAGGCGGTTGTAATGATAACAATTTTTTCTTAGATTTTAAGATATCAAACGCTTCAGCTGGTGAAGCAAATATAGCTTTTATCGGGCGGCATATTAACATTCTGCACACGAAATGTAACCCAGCAATAAATTTGCCTCTCTGATTGGCTACTCATTATTTATGATAACAGTTGATATCAGTAAACTATTATTATTAATATCTAGAAAACACTAATTTTATAAATTATTTATAAATATATTATTTAAAAAATGTAATAACAGAAATAAATTAGTGCGATTTTGCATTAGGCGTACAGATAGTTATGTTTTGAAGTATATTTCTTGGTTTCTTAGGGCGATTGTTTTCTGAAATTGCTGGTCTACTTAAAAATAAAAGTAACGTGTTTGTTTAATTGACAAATGGTATTTATAAATTATACTCACCTGCCAAAAGACGTTTGCTTCCTTTTGTTATGCTTGGTTTCCTCCTAGAAATAGTGGTTGGCTTAACTCATATTGTTGCACTATCTATTAGTCTTTAAGGTAAAGAGGTTCCTCCAGCATTGGCTAAAAATGTGTTAAACTGCCCTTCTGATTTTATTTTTTTAAATCTATTTTTAAATTTCAGTAAATTTTGATTGATCCTCCATACTTAGTATTATTATTCAACAAAATTTGATTGATTTCTTCTATTATTGGCAAACAAGTATTTTCTGAAATAGTACTTTTTTCTTCAACCATATTGCCAAAGATGCTATTTTCATTAATATTGTTTTCTGTATTTTCTATTACATTTACTGGTTTTAATTTAACTTCTTCAACTGTCAATGCATTTTTATGAATAACCTCTGATGGTAAAAGATCTTCATAAAATGATTTATTTGGTGTTTTATTACTTAATGCTAATGGTGCAATTGAATGTTTATCCTCTATTGTAACAGGAGGGAAATTAACTCCAACTTTATTAAAAAACTTGTATACAATACCTTGATGTTTACAAAACTTTCCATACATTCTAGCTGTACACGAACAAATATCTATAGATGGCATAACACAATACATCAACTGTTTATTTTTTTGGCTTGGTACATAGTATTCTTCATTATCCACTTTAATATCTTCTTGGGTCACATAATCAGTTAATTTTGTAATTTTTTCAAAAAATTTACAAGCAGTTGCATTTCTATCATTAGAAAACTCGAGAAATTTTTTTCTATAATAATGTTCCAAATTGGTACAACAAAAATCAATAATTGAAATAACATTGTATGCTTTAACTCTACTTAATACATTTTCCTAAAAAATTCTCACTGAAACTTCACTAAAGTTATTAGTGTGGTGGCCTCTATTTATATGATCTCTCCACACTAAACATTGTATAATAATTAAAAAGAATCTATTAAATGTAATATAAATATTATAAAAGTAATTATTTCATATGTTTTTCATATTTTACCATATGAACCCCTTGACCAGTACGCGGACCTAAATTTAAAATCCTCCATTTATCATGCCAATTCTGTAT